TTTTTTTGGAAAAGTTTCTGAAAAAATGGTAAGCATCGGCAGGGCATCAGAGCATCTTAAATTTGCCGAGAAATAAGCTCTGCGGGGGTATTTATTTGTAGGAGTCTCTTTACTGTCCAAATATGAATGAGTTTAGCCTTATTCCCATGAGGTCCTGTGTAAGTGGGAGTGTTCCAATACAATACATTTCCATCAGTTTCTCATGTTTCTCCAAATCGATGCAGCTAATACTAATCCATTTCAAAATATTTGTAATATTTCAGGACAAGAGTTGGAATGCATTTCTGTGATATTGAAAGCCAGAGAAGTCAGCTCGCGTCGCTTCCACAGCCTGAAAACCTCATCCGAGCCGTCTCTCTAACTCTAATCCACCAATCCATGGCGCTCGAATTGTCACGAAAATTCTCAACAATGCAGCTCTGCGTAAGCAATGGTGAGCTGACTTTTTCCTTTTTCATACAAGAACGGAGAAGAGTGTGGACTAACATCCTTGTCTGTCTCGGATGTGTCTTAAAGGCACAGTTCGCGACCGCAAATTGCGGGAAACGGAACTCAAATAGGCACAAAAAAGTGCTAAGTATCTGATTAGCGGAGAAAAGCAGCAGTAAAAGCAGTCCGAAATGTTATAGATAAAGATAACATAGTGGCTACTAGCTAGTAGCTAGCAGCCGGTGAGGGTCGGCATGGGCCTAAGGGGTGTCCATGGGCCTAATTAGCCAGCTTCTAGCGGAGTTCTTGCCGTTTTTCACATTTTGAAAGTAGCGCAGCCTCAAAAATCGCCTTCCGGATCGTCCGACACATTTGAGAGGTCATAGCCTTATTTTTCGCGGAATGTGCCTTAAAGGCTCAGGGTCCACGTTCATTGTGTGGGCGGAGACAGTCGAAACATCGCGCCTTCGCCAGAACTTCCTACCGAAGCACGGTGAGGAGGTGGGCTTTGCGAGAAGCGCAGAACTTGACCGTCCCCGCCCATACGATTAACATGAACTGTTTGTTCGAGCTGTTGAAAAATAGTGATTCCTGGTTTCAGGCTTGTCGATGTGAAAGGTATGGCTGACCGCATTATTTCTATGCGAACTCAACTGCGGGATCTGCTGGCCAAGGAGGGATCTAAACGCAATTGGCAGCACATAACTGATCAAATTGGAATGTTCTGCTACACTGGAATCAATCCTCAACAGGTGAGTACACAGGCATTTCTACAGAAGGCGTATCGTGTGACATAGCAGCTGGCGTATACTTCATTCCTTACCGGCGCTGTCAGTTTGAGGGGGGAAACGCGTAGTGGGTGGCGTCCTGCTCTACAAAGCTGTGGCTGCTGATCTGCGTTGTTGCTTTCAGTAAAAGTATGGACTTTACGGCGCGCCGCGTAAAGCCTCCTATTTTACTCGTTCCGCCTCTGGCCTACTGTTATTTGAGCTTCAGTGTATCGGCAGCGGATGACTTAACCACCGGCATCGCGTAAGATGCATTCGATAACCAGCACGGCTGGCCGGCTAAATGGCCGGCGCGCTGCTGTTGTTGAGCACAGGGTACAGCAATTGAGGATGTGCGAGAATGGCGGTGTGAGTAACGACCCCCCCGCCCTGAATACGGTACCAGGCCACAGAACTCCCGATCCACTCTTTTCGCCGATTTTCGCCGAACAACGACGCGAGCGATGGTAATAGTCGGCGAATAAAGCTGTCGAGGGGCGGGGGGCACTAGAAAAAAGAAAAAATTAATACGACCCTTTTCCACAAGAAAAAATCAACTATCAAAATAAATTTGTCTTACAAATACGACCCCCCTCCCTCCCCAGAGCAAAAGTACGACCCCCCATGGGTTTGACACAACGATGCTGTACCCTGTCTGTGATACACCCGGCCTTCTGGGCGGGCGTGGCTTCGTCTACCCTATCTGCTTTCGTACCTTTGAATGCACGACTGATACCCGGCTTTCTGTCATCTCTGCACTTCATCAATGCTCCTTACCATAATCAGTAATAGTGTTGAAAAAAATAGCAGGTATGATGTTATTGGTCAGGAGCTTAGTCATCTGTTCAGAAAAAAGAAAAGCAGGGGCGATGGTGTACTACTAAGGTATAAGCATGGACTACTGCTGTGGAATGGATAAGGGCAATTTTTGACTCAGCTCGGCTCGGCTGGCACGGCTCGGCTCGGCGTGGACAGCAAATGGTACTCAGAAAAGTCTTTCTGCTCCCCCCCCCCTCTTGTGAAGGCGCTGTAGCCTAAGTGAATCAGTTGTACCCTTGCAAAGCGAACTATTTCTGTAATTCCATAGAAGAAACTGATCGCTTGAACCTTTACTCATCATGTATACCAAGGGTATTGCCATATACTATACTACCATTATATAAAGTAGGCAGCTCGTGCTTGACGGCACGCACAGCCCACTGTGGACGGGTCTCTATACACCACAGACACACTCAACCTTCGCTGTATGTTTCTTTTCTCCAACGACTTTTTGCAATCCCTAAAGTCACTCAGGTCCGAAATATAAAATCTCGTAGCAAGCACGCCCCGCCAGTACGTCCCGCCCATTTTGAGGATGTCTGCCCCATTTCATCCACTAACCCCTTGTGACCTTCAGTCCACATGTCCCCGGTGCATATGCTGCTCTGCAAGCAACTCGTGAATTTTTGACTTTTGCCCTCCCACCTCGACATCTGCTTCGCCCACATGGGCGTGTCTATCTTGGTTCAATGGCCGAGGACTTGCACGGTGTCTAGACTGCTCTGGGAACGTTTCAGTCTTTTTCGTTTGGCTCCGCCCAGCTCTCCTCACGCTCCGCCCACAACGGGTGTGCCTCGTACTTCTCAACAGGTGACCCACCGCTGACATTAGTCTCATTCGCTACTGACTAATATCCGCATGTGACGGCGGATTTGCGGTGGAACCCTGGTGAGTGCGCTTTTCGAATTTCTGTAGAATTTTCTTGTTGAGTTCCGAACACATCATCGGAACTGCTAGGGTTGGTTGGGCGCTTGGCGGGGTAGTGTTCATTTCCTAACTCGAAACGCGTTTAGGCCTCTGAAGAAGACGACCACGTCGAAACCCTCGAGAGGCACAGCAGAATAAACGAATCATACAACGATGCCGAGGTTACAGCAAGAGAGAAGCTGGAGATTATACTGGTATAATTATTAGGCAACACGGTTGTGCTTTTTTACGAGGTTAGCCTTCTATTTTGTGACTTCATGGAGGGCTTTCGCGAAGTATTCGAATTATTGGACGAGATTCCAGCCACGGAAATCCGGCCGTCCTTGGTCAGGTAGACAGAGTGCTCCTTGATCAGCCTTTCCACTTGAAAGAGGAGGTCTGAAACTTTGCAATGCCTTCTTTTGGGCCAGGTTATGTAACCTACGAGAGCATTCCTATGGTTCGTGTAGCTGGAATCTTGAGAAAAGGGTAGAAAGGAGGTATAAGCGTACTGTGGTCCGCAGACGGAAGGCCAGGACACTTGTAATTTGCAGCTTGGCCGCGCGGCGTATCCTGCGGCCATGCGAGGCAAGTTCTGGATAAGCATCAGTTTGTCGATTGGAGCATCGACACTGTAGAAATTCAAGCAAAGACAAAAGTCTGTGATGGGCGACATCCAGACATGAGCGAACTTCCCATTAACACTAATAATGCCGAAACAATCAGACAGTACTACTCGTCTGAGAGGCGCGACGTCGCTCGCACTAGCGCGGCATATTACGATTGTCTTGTCACACGCCCCGAAGGCAGTGGGGGCGTGTGAGCGGAGCGTGGGTTCCGGCACGGCGCCACTCCCTTCCCCAACACACATTGAAAGCGCCAAGCAGCGGCGATTGATGAAACAGGCTGGGGCCGCGCCAAATGCGTGTTCCGCTGGCACGCCCCGAAAGAGTCCAGCGATAGTGACTGTGGAAATATGACACATCTTCCCATTAGGCGCACAAGATAAGTTAGGAAGGCAAGGGTCGCAGTATCCCTAAATTTGGCGGTGAAACTCAAATGCTCATGCATCAAGCCGTGAGCCAGTTTAAGCTTCCGGAAAAACCAGGACCGACGGTTGACGATGCGCCATTCTGCTTCAAAATGATTTTTGTGGTAACGTTGATAGTCTGCTCTTTCATTTGATGCTAGTTTCGGGGAACGTCACTGAAAGTAGGCCACAACATCGGAGCTATATCCTCGAGTAAGAGAACTCGGCACTATTCAACTATCACTACCCCAATTTTTTGAAAACAGGCCGGATCTTGATCGACTTTTGGCAGATTTGGCTGAAAGTTGGGTTCTAGGGGTAATTCGACCTCCTGAACACGAATATCACATCCGCTCCTCCCGAAGCTGCTCGGCGCCCGCTACTCAGGAGTAGTTCTACCTCCTGAACACGAATGTCACATCCGCTCGGCCTAAAACCGCTCGGCGCCCGCGCCACGGGCGCTAGCGCCAAAATGCCCCAAATCACTGGCGCCTGTGGCGCGGGCGCCAGGCACTTTCAGGCCAAGTGGATGTGATATTCGTGTTCAGGAGGTCGAATTACCCCTAGAACCCAACTTTCAGCCAAATAAGATCCGCCCTGTTTTCGCAAAACTGGGGTAGTAATAGTTGAATAGTGCCGAACTCTTTTTGAGGATTGCTGTGTTTGAGGAGAGTTAAGCTCACCAACCCCTTCTTCCAGCCGATGTACATGTGGCTAGTATATTCCTCCTTTCGAAAAAGTCCCCGCGTCAATTAGCTGAAGAACAGAAAGTCGATTGGACGGATTGTATCCAGGATTGCACCCAGGGACCGTACGCCTGTCAAGCGGAGTATTACCACTACACCACCACC